TCCTCGCGTCTGTAAAGGGAATGGTAGCTATGTAAACACAACCCATTACACGACCTCCCTATCCATAGATGTGCCAGGCCAACGCTAAGAGAAAATAGAACCTCGACCTCAATTGAGGAGTTTACTCTTCCGCCAAGATGTGTTCGCGTCGTCTCACAAATTTTACACGACGTAGAAATCTTGATGCAGTTCATCAATGCTCTAATTGGCTACGCCTCTGAACATATTTAACACATTGACGACCATGTAGATTTTTAGTTGTCTGCCTTTTGGGACCAAGGCCTTTTTACGGACCAGCCCACTTTTTCAACTACAATTACGCATACTCCGATCTACAGTACACCTACAGTAGATCTGAAAGGCTAACAAGAAAGGTGGAAGTGATCCCTAGTATTGCGCAAAAGAAAGCTCATGGAGTGTGTTTATTTCAGGATAGTGTCATTTTACCAAAATTCAAGCCTTGACACACATGGTGTGTCAAGCGGTCCCACGCGGTAGTCATTGCGTCGTCAATGTGTTAACAGAAAATATATTTCAAATTGCTTCCGTTGCATAAGTCCTCCATCGTCTTCATTCTTCGTAGCGTAAGAAGAATTGATATGCCGAGTTGTAGCTATAATTTAAAATCTTCAATTGCTGAAGCGATGTTTCTAGTGAGATTTTGGCCTTAGATGCGGCCTTTAAAGAAGATAAAGTTCGTGGAGTGAAAAGTTGCGTTAGCAGGTCCCATCTTACATTTAGATGGGTTGTTTCTTAGAAATCCATGAGTATGCCGCGCGGGGAGATTGGTCCAAAAATCATTGGCATTCTCCGGAGCCGAAACATTTGGTATGACCTCCCTCCCCCTCCCCCCACTTTTCAGGCTCTTTCCGAGTTTTTGTTTGCGTCCGTCGGATTTTTTGTTTGCTACGGCAAACAAAAAATCGAAAAAAGGTGAATGCTCCAGAGTGTTGCTTATTTTCGAATTCGGAGTGGGGGGAGGGGGGCTACACGAAGGCCACCATTGTATAATCAATTAGCGGAGTTTCATCTTGCTAGATTCCGCTTGCACTTCATTTTTAAGCTTAAGTGACTTCTAGGTGGATTTGTCAACATAATCATGTGAAGACTGGAACGCCGGCGCAGTAAATTCACAGTTTACTCTAATTTGTAGCGCTTGTCGTAGCCTAAGTGCACACGAAATGTATTTCGCCACCCACTTCAACACAGAGATCATGATTGATTACCTTTGTACCAGTAAAGACACGATAATATTTTTTTGTCATTTTTGCAAATATTACCGTCATCCTACCTACACTTTCTCTACATCACGGCCCTAATACTAAATAGTTTCGGATACCGTTCGGGTGCATTTTCAACTTCTAATCTAATGTCTGCCACGTCTCCGCTACAAGAGTTATTTTTGGCTTCTGGAATCCCAGTGATCTAAAGAATTTGGTGTCTAAAGTATCATTTTCTCAGTAGAATCGCCTATGTCAGCGTTTCTTCTCAATTCAAGACTCAGCTCAAGCGATTCTGATTACTGCAAATTTTGCTCTAACACTGATAAAACCCGTATCTAGGGGGAGAGGAGAGTAGGGGGGGGGGGGGAAGAATTGGTCGCGTATATCCGCAATGGAATACATTTTAACAGCATTTTTTTCCAAAACGTTGGTTCAAAAATGAGAACATGATTTTTTTAGACTCACATTAATTCTATAGTTTTGGCACCATAGGTGGTATAAATTTAAGAAACCTAGTATGACTACATTTCTTGATGTCTCCATCACAGCGTTTTGTTTGCAAAAAAAGATTTTCTGTTGAATTTTAGCAAAATCCTGATCAAATGAATGCACTCTTGTAGGAGAGGATTTGCATGTCAAAGCGATAAAAACACCCAACCTTGGTGCACTTTCACAAAATGACTTGAACCAACAGCGCAATCTCACAAACTGATTTGAAGTGACACGTTTTGAGTCTGAGTAATGACTATTTATACCTTGTCCAGTTTCCTCCGCCTCAAGCGTAGATGGAACTTTCCACTTGGCAGAGTCCGGGGCGAAAGCACCGTTGAAAAAACTTCACTTTGAAATGACCTTGTTTATGTCTTTAACCTAACCATTATGAGAGGCAATAGTTTTCCTTTCCAAGGTAACCATGACGAATTTGACTACAAAGAACGACCATTCAGACCGCGCAGCATAATTTCAAAATACAGGTTTTACTTTTGACTGACGCATTCAAACTCGATCCCTTACGAAATTGTAAAAGTATAATGTAATTATGACATCAATGGATTTGCAAGGGTGAAGTGACGCAATATCAACAAGGAGAAAATCGAACAACGATAGTCATGCGCTTTGTAATACAAGGCGCTTATCACAACGAACAACATTGGAATTTTTGATAATTTCGAGATTTAGCACACTTCGAAAGTTGCTTAAAATATTACAAACAAGACAATTTTGTGTAACCATTTTCATTTTTAAATGGATTTGATAGAGCTTGAAAACAGCCCAGAAAATGACTTCAACCTTCCATTACTGTAGGAGAAGTTCAGAGTTATGGAAAGAGGGTTAACTCTTTTTTACCTGCTCCTAGAACTTCGGCTGATGCTTTTTGAGCTAGTTCAGCTATTGTTCTCTCCTTCACAATCCTGCTTTTAGCACTCGCTTTCTTTCCTTTCCGTTCAAGAACATTTATAGGTCCTATAGGCCAAACTTCTTTGAACTTAGATATAGTGCTACGATCAGAGCGATGTCGTCTTTCATGCACAAATTTTTTAGGTTCAGAACCTTTAAAAACTAGATTGTCTGGTATGCTACAGCTGTTGACTTCGTCCGGAACTGGCTATCTGTCTGGTAGTGCATGTCTCCAGCGTCTGACAAAAAGTGCCCTACATATAGGACTCTTATGCCCAATACAAAAAAGTATCTATAACATATAAAAAGGCTTATGAATGGATTTGCCTCACCAGGGGTAGCCTGTTTGTACCCCGTCCCTACCCACGCTTAATCCTTGTTTTTCCTTCGAACGATAGCAACCCTGCGCATGCCACAGCCGTCACTACCTCGACACCACTGTGGATTCCTGTCCCATCTCATAGGGCTGCACAAAAACTGAGATGCAGAACCGGAAGGAGAAGAGGATCAGAGCTGATCGATGTCGCCCACACACACTCCATACCCACTCACCCACACACAGTCGGATTTCATTCGCTACGTCAATTCGACACATTTCGCCCACATGACAACCAGAATTCAAAAAACCCACACCCACGGAATTCCAGGTTCTCGCAATTCTCATGACACCACTACATCTCCTTTTACGTGTGGAAATGAGATGTGGTCTGTCCTTGAAGTCGGGCCCTGCTGTTAAATAGTTCGTCTGGCTCACATGCCATGGTACAGTACAGTTGGACTCTTTGCGCTCTTTCCCTTATCATGACCCGGAAGACGATATATCTTTCATATTCGTCTGCTAGTCAGTCCACCTTAAACTTCCGCCCGTGTAGATTTTACAGTTATACTTCATCGGTTCATGTATATTCACGGTTCCTCAAAACATTTCCAGTGGTTTGATGCTGTTGTTCTTGATAATCGCTATATAATCTGTAGGCTACTATATATGTACCTGATATCTCTGTAGCGGAAATGCTGCAGGGATAGCTGCTGTAGCAATGTTATTTGATAATAACCTTTCAAACTCTTCGTGATGAATCGAGAAGTTGAAGCAAATTCCCCAAGTTATTCTACACCTTCTGCTTGCTACCTCCAAGATGTAAAGTTTGTTCGAGACGCTATTCTGATTTTTTAGGCAGATCAATATGCACAATTGGGATTAGCGGTACTACCAATTATCCTTCTTCCCATTAAGAGATACGATTAAAATGCGGGACTGATTTTGAACACCAAGTGTTCTAGTAATTTCGAAAATTTGATAGTTCTTCGGTAGTGCTCGGGATTCGTTAACGCAAAGTACTGTCGAATTCGATATCTAAATTCTTCTTCGATTTCTCACCAAAACAGAGTCACGGAAAATCTACTACCTCAGTAACCCGCTATAATTGCGGCTGATGCCCACGATAGACCTGAGAGTTTTGAGGATATTACGTTGCATGCCATGAATGCTAAGATTTCAAATCCCGAGGGCTATCTGATCATCAGAAATTTGAAGACTTGAAACTTTCTATGATTTCTCTCAACTATTGTGTTGCATTCTCAATCATAGCACTCTTCCTATATGTTTTATCGACCCACAATTTATACTCCTCCTCCACTTCTCCTGTTTCCCATCTACTCAGACAACTCACCGGAACTTCCGCAAAACGTTTGGGAAAGTTTCGCCGGGTCACCTGAGGAAGTTCCGCAAACGAGGTCCGAAGAATGCGAACCACAGCAGCAAATGAAAAAGCCTAGGCGAGATTTGAACCTTACCTCTGTTGAGTGTGAGACTCACCTACTATCCTTTGCACTACAACTGGCATATTCGATAATGCACTCTAGTTGTTGGCGAGGCAAAATCATACGAGACAATACATTCAAAACCCTGCGGAAGTACTGGCATGTCAAGTGCTGCAGAACCGCTGGCATTTTTCGGAAGTTCCGCAGCGTTTTGTAATAACTCCTGCGAAAGTTCCCATTTTCAACGTTTCCACTTTTGAAATAGTAAACAAATTCCTGCAGAACCGCTGCAAATTTTGCTTGTCTTGCGGAAGTTCCGGTGAATTGTTTGAGTACTTGCTTTGTTTTATTCCCAGACTGACCCTTGGTCGGTGTCACTTTTCTGCTGAATTGTTTCGCAGTTTGCAGCGCGGAAAAGGATGGATTGTAGGTTTTAGAGAGCGATTTGGTGGCGATAAACCTCTTCCGCTCCCGACGTCTACAGCGTCGTCGTTGAGAACGCCGCCATCGCGTAAGAGCTTGCGCTGCGCCGTCATAAACGCATGAATCTCTTCCTTGTTGCTTTCGCTCCAGTTCGAAAAGTTTTTTCATATGGAAAATTGTCTAGCATTCTTTTTCAGATATGGGTAGACTACTATTAGTAGTTGTATCGTTGGTTGTAGTCTGGCAGAACTCAAATTCATCACCTATTTGCAAATCTTGCACGAAAAACTGCTATCACAACGACACCGTCAGCTCTGGAAATTGGTAAGCGCTTTGAATTTCAAATGTTGAAGTTGATTCTTTTACGCCATACCATTATTGTTTAAAAAACCTATGGCTTCACACCAAAAGCCGGTTTTTGTCCCGTGTTGTCGCAAGATATTTACATGTTTTTGAAATTATTCTCTACCTTTCCCAAAAAACCTGTCTTCCCTTCCTGTCCTTCCGAAAGGTGTGTCAGTGGTCGATGGCAGAGCGCTCACTTTCATTGATTCCATCTAAGAATGCTTCACTGTCGCATAATAAATCAACCGCTAATCAATGCGTTCGCTAAAGCCAGTCTAGATCAAGGTGCTTGATGTTTAGCCAAACGTCATTCTTATAAGGGGCAGCGCCCTTCTGCTTGGGGATGTTTATACTTAATCATTTCATCTGTGCATGCTTGGGACATGGATAATTCGAAAATCATGGATTTTGAAATATTTTGCGCTTAATCTTATGTGTAGTCGTTACTACTACGGCTGCAACCAAGTATTTGATGTGAGAACGTTTGAGTACGAATCTTCTACTTCTGCAATAACCATAGCGGTAGAATACATGATTTATGTGAAAGCCCAATTTTTATGAATTCTTATTCTTGGCATGTTCAAGACACCTCGTTCAAGTTTGTTACGAATTTTATTTAAAAAATTGTTTATTTTGTCAGGGAAAACAAAAACATGCAGGAACCCTTCAAATACTTGGATGCTTGCTCAAACTCATATCTTCTGATCGCTGTACCCAATGCAGAGCAGTTCGCATAGGTTCATGTTGGTACTTCCGTAGAACCAGACAGCTTTAAGAGCGAGCCGAAATACAGAACCTTTGTATGCAATGGTTAGTCATATGAGGTGCATGCTACTCTTTACTTTTCAACGTAAGCAAAAGAAACGAAAGTGCAACAATTGACCCAATTAAAACTTCTTTACTTTACCTAGGGATTCAGCACAATAGAGACATTCCCCTACAAATATCACTGGCCTATTCTTATTCGTGACAAGCAAATATAGGGCAGAAATTTTCGGAATATTTTTCTCTTATTCAGCGTTTGAAGCTGGGACATTCGTGCATGTCTGCAATTGCTTAGGGCATATCATCTTCTACTCAAAAATCATGCCGTGTACCCTCAAATTCACTTCCTCTGCTGAAACTGAACGAACTTTATACATAATAAGCTCATTTTCTCCCTGTGTATTGCACGCAGACAAAAAGAATGAAAAATTTTAGTTAAAGTATTACTGCAATCACAAGACATGATATGCATCTGCTTTCGTCATGAAATGATGCTGGAAAGTAATTGGCAACTGCGTTTCAATTTTTTTTTAAATGCCAATCTCTGAGAACAAGATTTTCTTTCTGATTTAGTTTGAAAATACATATTTCTAAGATTTGCGTGTATATCTAAAACAAATTCTTCGCAGTCTTAGCTGTAAGCATAATTGAGACTGACAGAAAAGATAACTGCGACTAAAGAAAAAAGTCTAATGTTGGCTAGGGCAAAGAAATGCTGAAGTTCACAAAATCGGAAAATCATTAAGTGATAGGAATAACTGATTGTGTGACATTGTAAGTTTTGATTTCTAAGAATAATGGGAAGAGCAAAAATCATCTTGAAGGCACCGTCCACTCAAAAACTCCACTCCCATGTTTTTGTCGCCCTTAGGACCTCTGAAAGCCCTGATTTCGAATATCCCAAAAATCTGCGTTTTGGAGTACCCCTGCAACAAGCGCAGGCGAGGAAAAGCATGCGAATGGGCGGAGCGACCAGCTAGCTGGATAGAGTGACCAGCTCCGGATAGTTTCCGGAGCAGATTTCTCGCTCCGGAAGCAATCTTTTGCGGCGCAGCTTGGGTGTGGGGCCCACACTTGTATGAAATCATAATCTCGTCAACCCCCTTTTGGGTGGACGGTGCTTTTGAAGCTGATTTATGCGATTAGCACTAATCCGCTTCTATACGTTTTGATAAATCGAAATTATTCGAACGGGATCCAAAGTCTTTTTGATGTCGATTTATGCCTCTTTCTGCTTTAAATTAAGTAGATGCGATAGATCGAAGTGTTCAAATGCTGATTTTTATCTCTCACTAAAATGGGATAAAATTTGATTAAGTACTATTTTGTAGCTCCGTACGGTCAAGTCCTTAATGTAAGACAAATTGATTCACTATTAGATGCCATCTGACCAACTGTTCTTCTTCTCTTCTCTTCTCGTTAAGTTTTTGGGTGTTGCGAGTTCTCCATTAGTTCCAGTTTTTCCATTTTTCCTGGCTAACACAAGAAACTGTTTCACCTTCGGATAGCGTGAGTGTGGTGTTTTGAAAAGCGAGAACAGAATCGTTTTCTGATCGAGCCGCCGAACCTGATTTGTACAGTGCCATTCGTTGTCGACTGTTCCTATCGTTCACCGTAATCACCTTGAAAGCTAAACCAGCTGTGCGTGTGAGTGTGTAGTCTGTTCCAACGGTGTTACGCCGAATTGTAACATCGACAGGCCGCCTCGGGAGCCGATCCCGTCTCGGCGACAAACTGGATAGACAGCAAGCATGTGTCACGCTATTAGCACACCTCCATCAGAGCTGTGGCGCCACCACCTCATTAGTCATGTCCTGCATCATCGAAGCGCTTGTGAACTCTCGATATCGCTATCCGAGCGGGGACTGACATCGGAGAGGTGTGCGAGCTTACAGGGGAACCATGTTGAATCGAAGTGGCCTTTTGAGATGGGATGTACATCACATGAAGGGCACAAAAAGCTGTTTCCCGAGGCGGTATGTATCAATCGCTCGCCCTGATAAGGTTTCCCATTCAGCTAGTATTGGCTTTATAGCTTTGTGCTCTGGGGATCTCTGTACTTCCTCGTTTGTCCATCTTTTGGAGTCCCTATTACCCTAATGATGTGGCATAATTAATAGCAGCACTTTGCTGTACTAGCTGAGATTTTCGGTATCTTGTAGGATCCGAAGGGATTCTCAGGGGACAAGGCTTATTTTCGAAGTCATTTTTCCTTGCAAAAACCTAATGGAAACGCCGTGAAGTTATGGTCGTAAAGTTATATTGACTATTATGACAGTGCTAATTGTGAGCAGGTTCATATAACGATGCATAGATGGACTAAAAAGTTACAGAATGTGCAAAATGATAATTTACATAGTGCAGCAAAATTTCTTTTAGATATTGAGCTAATCTTGATTGCAAAATTGCGCAGCTGACTAGGAACTTTTTTTTATTTGTGCAATTTAGAAATCAAAAGGACATTGAAGAACACCAAGTTTCTGCAGTGTCTTTGCACAGATTCTTGAATACTAAGTTTCTACCCTCAAACTGGCAAGAATAGTGAATCCTCATGTTCTGGCTGGAGCATCTCAGAGATCACCTTTCTTTAGGGCAGAGGTGTAGAAAGAGGGAGAGGAAGAGAGGGACTATGGGAGATTTAATCTGACTATTACCATCAGAGGTCTAAATACCTTTTAATCTAACGAATTTCTCTATTTGCGAAACTCTAAACTGAGAGCAGTTCCTTTTTTCTTTGCGAATCTTCAAGCCTACATATATCTTTTTGCAAAAAGTTCCGCAGATACGAAAGATTTATGGCTAGAGAAACTGCAGCAGAGTGTGACGTGTGCGTGTGTGCTTTAATGTCTAAAGTTGTTGTTGACTGAAGATTTGGACTTTACATCACCGCAGCGACGGGAACGACAGGTTTGCATAATTGATCAGCAGTGAAACACATCACCTTACACTCTCGACCAGGCTTGTCTGAGATTTGAGGCTTCTAAAAATCTTCCCAAAGAATCCCGTTCGCCATTTGCTCGTTAAGCAAACTCGTCCTTAACTGGACTACGGGAAGATGTAGCAGACTAGAACCTCTGCGATGGGCTAGACTTTTTCACCGCTGGAAGTTGCTCGAACGTACTTCGAGATCGTGTTCTGGTCGATGGCCTAATGCATGTCCTTAGCGGAGCCGCGGTATCAGAGGAATCACCGCGCGGAGAGTGCACGCGTAACGGACAAAGACGGATGGTCTCGACACGCGGGCGCCGGCCGCGCGCCGCGAGCAAGGCGGAAGTGATAAAGATGTGCAGTCTCATAGTTTCAGAAACAGTTGTAGATTCATCCTAATTATTAGGTCAGTGCCAAAGTTTCGTCAGTTTTTTTTGAATACACCCGCAAATAGGTAGAATTAAGACAAACAAATACTTCGAGCGGTGTCCGATGCAGAATGTAATTCATTGGACGAGGGCTCAGATAATCGCAGAAGTTGGCATCTTTGCTAGTTCTAGAAATTTTTATTTAAACTTTTGAAGATGCTTTGATAGCTGACTGGTAAGGCAAACCTTTGCAAGTTCATGCAGGCTTTAGCTTCATGGCTTGTTCCAAAAGTTCCGTAATATTTTTTGAAGTGACAAGTGACCATGTTCGCATACTTGGTCTAATGAAACCTCGTTAAATTTGAGGAAGTAAACAATTTAGGTATCATACATTACAGGTTTTTCTTGTCTTCCTAATACACTCAAAGGCTGCAAGCAAAATCACAGTATTTCTCAATTTTATGAATGCGCCTACCCTAAGCTTCAAAATCTCGATATTTTGAAGCAAACGCTCATTTACTTCATAAAGTTGATGGTAAGATAATTGAGTTTCGGAATCTCAGTTTCTAAAGATGTTGCAGGGGTTGGTGCAGTCAAGGTGTTATCGATCTTTTCCGAAACTCGAGATTTTCGGAAAATTATTCAGCAAAAATCTACAAAAAGGAAGATGGGGAAAGATATGAAAACTTGCCTTGCTACGCTGAAGGCTTGCCCTATCTGCTGGCCCAAAGCTCTTCCAAAAATCGCGATATTTTTTTTTTGAGAAAATCTTTGTACCGACATAATATATAGCCTAAATAATGTGTAACTTTAGTTCTTGATTTGACCACAATCCGGAAAATGGTGTTTGGTTAGAGCACTGCTTTGTTCATGTAATTCAGAAAATTTGCAACTTCGAATGGAGAGCAAACAAAGCACCCGAGCTAATTGGCTCAGAGGCATTTCCAGCGTGTTTTCCGAATATCAGCTGTAATAATTCTTATCTTAGCAGTAACTTTGTGCAAATGCACAATTTTTAAGTTCACCAGTGGAGCAGAGCGGTGGCGGTGGGGTCTGCTTCTTTGGGTTATGGTATTTGAAAACACTATAAGGCGAAGAGAAAGTAGCACGTAAACGATTGCAAAAATTAAAAAAGGCTGCATCATTTCCTTGCTAGCGTAAACCCAGGAAATAGTGCGAATATATAGGAGAATCTAAAAAAGAGGAACATTGCCATCTGCTGGCAATGTATCAAATATTTTGTTGAAAGAAGTAATACCAACTTGTCAAAGAAATCCAAACCACATATACTTCGTGTTTGCCCCGCTCCGTAACTCTTCGTATCCAAAGCTTCTACGCAACTAGCAATGACTTATTTCGGTCTCTTCTTGATACTTTTTGGGTTTCATATCGAAAGACGTGTGAATAGGAGAAAACCCATAAAAGTCGGACTCGCGATCGAAGGAAGTTGTTAAACTTCTACTGCTGCAACGGCGCCAACCTTGACCAAGTTCACAAATCAAGCAATAATTCACTGGGAGATAAAACAAATAAATAAAAAAAGGAACACAGGTCCCTGAACCGGAAGCATGTCTGAGTCCAAGGTGATTTGAACTTCAAAAAATTCAAACCTGTTTTCAAATTAAATTGGTATAAAAAAACAAGGCTTCGCAATGTTTTACGATTTGAAGGATAAGTGTTTACAAATGTAGAATTACTCAGAACACCCACCTATCATAGTATAAAAATCTATAATGTTTATTTGTCATTTCCTTAAGGAGGAAGCAAATAAAGGAAGTCCTTTTGCAATGATTGGGTACATCTGGGCTAACATACCCGCCTTATTAAGTTGATATAAAAGCAACTATACTTGACTTGACATTTGATACAAAGAAATGTTTCTCCAACTATAAGTCCTGCATCCAGCAGTAGTAGCTACCGTCAATATCGGACGGAAAGTAAACGTCTAAGAAAAGAGATAGCTTTGTTTACACCTTTAGTAGATTGTAAAGGCTATCCGTTCACAATTATATTGTTACATTCATTCTTTAACTATTTCTATTCAACTCATGGATTAAAGGAGCATTTTCGAACATGGACTTTGGTTCCATGTCCAACCAGCCAATTATTTCATATTTCGATTCCTCGGTTTTCTTACTGTAGCCAAATTCTGAAACGAACTTCATTTTCTACTTCACATAAGCCTACCTCGTATAATGAAAGCTGCTAACAGATCAAAAATCACCAGAAAGCTACAAGATTACCACACATTTCATCTTATTTCTTATTTGATTATTCTTCCATAGAAACTGAAATGGAGCTAGTGATACCGCTTTTTCAATAGTCACACTTTTATTTTCGGAGAGTCGTTCCACTTTGGATGTTGTAATACTCACAATCTGCAGTACACTTCAAATGTTGTAAGACTTGCAACCCGCAGTAATTTCAGTTTTAGGGAAACACTTCAGCCGTTCACAAATAGTTGAAATGACACAGGAATGAGGAAGGCAAAAGGTTGAGATCGTAACATGTACATTAGTCAGGTTGTTTGTATTTAGTATTCAGAAAAGAACCATTGAGATCTTATCATTTTTTCTGGCAAAGAATCATAATTATTCAACAGCTGCTCCATGTTTCATTTGACCTTCCTTTTTGTGCAGAAAGCGCAATTACCTTGAATTGTTGTCATTGAAAAGGAGCTCGAGAGAAAAATTAGATCGTAAAAGGTGGCAAAAAATCTTCCCATCAATTGGTGTTCATTTTTCCGTGCGGCTAACTGTCATGGCCAGTAAGTGCACTGGGTAGTTCGTCAAAAAAGGAGAAAGATTTATTGGCGGCGGACCGGAAGGAAGTCGATTTAAAATCCGTAAAATCAAAACTTCGTTTTTGCACGGCGAAAATCTTACTGACAAAAATGAGCAGCGCTAATAGACATTGTTATGTACATGCGCTTGTTATTCTCTATCAGTAATGAGAAAAGAAATATGCCAGTGGCGTACCCAGGATTTCGGCTCGGGGGGGGGACAAAAAATTTTTCCGTTGAAGGTGCGTGTATGCTCCCTAAAATTTTCATGGGCTCAGAACCCCGAAATTTCAGAAAAAAGGGGGCGTAGCGTTAGCCACGTCCCGAAAAATTTTTATAGTAAGGCTAAAATGAATTTTTTTAAAGATTTTAAAAAATATTTTAATTATTTACAAATGCAGACAAGTCATTTGCACAATTTTATAACCTATATAAGTAGTTTCAAATCTCGCGACCCGTTCTGGGGGGGGGGGCGTCCCCTCCTCCCTCGGTACGCCAACTCTCCGTACATATACATTAGGATGTCCTACACTATGAACTATACAAACTTTTATAGAAAGTAATTCTGCTCAAACGTATCCTTAAATGTACTATGAACGTTAGCTTGAAAGACTTTGAAATATCAAACAGGTATTCTTGTCTAATAGCATCTACAAAACGCTGATTTTGGTGAGCTGCAAAAATTCTACAAAAATCTCGATAATATTCGGTGCAATTTTTGCATTATTTCAGGACCGAAACGAACCTTATAGACGACATAGAGACGTTGCACAGACGAAAGAGAGAAGCGGATGTGGAGTTCCGTGCGTGCACACGCTTCCAGATTGAGATATTGCTCATTCCAATGTCGATTGCAATGATCCCCATCATTCTATGCTCACTGATTTTATGCACCTGCTGCTGCGGACCGAAAGACTCTAGAGGTTTGTATCCATTCGCAAGATCTGAATTTATTTCGACCAGGGACCGTTTCCTGTAGGGTTAGTAACAAAATAATGACTTTGAAACTTAAAGACTGAAACAACCTCGAATTTTTGGTTTCATTACCCCTCCGCTCATTGTTAACTTCATTTATAACTACTTTCTCTTTCAACTTCACTCTGCATTTGCAAGAACATTCCTCCCACTAACACCCAAAATAAGTTCTGTCAAAATTTCCTTGAGTTCTTGAAATTCAAAGATTATTACTTTGAATTGGAAAAACTCCGCAATTGAATTACCAACACTATGCAAATCATTGGGCCTTGTTAGTAATGGGAGGTTCTTCACTCCGCACACATTTACTAACTTTTCACTTATGACAAACCATGACATTGCGCACTTACGTAACATCCAATCTCTTCGCCTTGACTCAATGAGGTGGTTTAGCCCATATTTGTCAAACATCAACCTAGATGACCTGATTTACAAAGTCGGTGGTAAACAAACTCTCTCGCCGATTTGGCAAAGACTCATGTTAAAAGACTCATAGATAGCGTGAAGTTGGGATCTTTGGATTTTGAAAAAATTTCCTCTGTTTTAGGAAAGCTACCGGACGATTTTCTCTCTTCTTTCAAAATGTCAAAGAAGCGGAGCCAAATGAACTCGGAAGACATGGAACTGGAATTTCGCGACGGCTACGTGCAGCGGAAAGACTCGGCGAAGACCAAATTTTCAACAGTCGTATCGTACATCGAAGCGAGAAGAGAAAGCCTCTGGTCGCTACGAACCGAGAGCGAACCATCGACGTCGGCTGCGGTGAAGGAAGAGAAGGCGCAGGAGAAACCAGCAGCAGAGGAGAAACAGCCGGAGCCGCCGGCGCCGAAAAAGTCCGAGCAGCTGCAGAAGACGCCGTCGGTGGAGTCGATGAAGCGCACCAGATTCAGCGACACGGTTTCGGTGATAAGCGTCGATTCGCTGAGCCGACGATGAACGCTGGGGAACGGGTGGGCGCGCGCAGTCAGAAGTACAGGTCACTCATGACATGATCTCGTAAGCCATTTTAGGAGCGAAGCTTCCGTCAAACGAGTTCGCTGAAAGCATACTTTCACACAAATTAACACTGAATAACGAATCCGCAGCGGGAATTCGCAGCAATCGCAGACGGGCTGCGCTTTACGATCGCTGCGAACTCTACGGACCGTAGGCACTCACACACGATAGAGAGACTGCTGTGACAAACCGACCGTCTATATTAGATGGATGTCATGGTGCATTGCTGTAGTAACCGCGCTACAAGCGTCCTTCACTTCGAGGGTACACAGAGGGTAGATGCCATCGTCGCCGACATGCGCGCAGCGGCGCTCTGCGAGCCCCGCTGCGCTCAGCTTTGGTACTGTTTGTAAATATGTTTCATGTTCCCATCACAGCCATCGCCAAACGTGTTACTTTTTCCTGTTTGTGCATAATAATTGATAAAGTTTCTACCACTAGTCGTTTGTATTGACCTCGAGATCAGGCAGAAATGCAGAAAAGGCAGTCTGCCAATGAGCATGGACCAAAAATACCAATCGCTCTGCCTGGATGTGAATAACACGAGTGCAGTGACCTGATATTACAGGCAATTTCTAAAAAATCAATTTGAAGCTCATGGTCATATTTATTGAAGTTTACGAAACTACGCAGCATTACAGCCACCATCATAGAGTACTGGTTGTGGATTTAATTTAATTTATTCAGAATAGTCGATATCATAAAGAGACAGATAGACACATGTTAACAAGAGTGATCGACTTTGAAATCTCGGAGCCTTTTGAAAATGTATAATATCCCATTTTTAGAGTGCCAGCGAGCCTGCGGATAAGGGACTATATGTCGCCAATAGGCTCCAATGCGCGGACGGACAGTTGGTACAAATTCCTTATGTCTGTAATGTGTGGAGCCGTGTGCTCTGTCGCAGAAAGCAATATGACAAGACACCTTAAGCCTAAGATGCTATTCAACATGCACTGAGGGTAAAATGCGAAGAGTGCCGTGTGAAGACTTCTACAAAGTGGAGAGTAGGAAAGGGAAGGAGGGAAAATGAACTTTTCAGACGAAATTTGCTGCTCAAACAAACAGGTCTTCTTAATTCCTCAGCACCACAGGATAAATATCGAAGTCGACCCTCGAACTAATTACAATCTAGTCTTTACAACAGTAAGTACAATATGCCCTACAAACGATTTTCCTCACAGATACATATGCCCGAACTTTGCAAGGCTCTTCCTGGCACCACTAAGAAAAATCAACAGCAGTAATAAAATCCCTGCATTTTGCAACAAAAAGGAATCGTGAACAAATTGAACTAACGTCCAACTTTGTCCTACATCCTTTCTCCAAATTCATGAGTGTGATAGCAGTGGCAGCTCGCACTATGCATTTTTTTCATTGAGCTCCACGAAAAAAAAAAGCTTCTCTTTGAAATTTGTGGAACTACAATGCGGTTTTAATTTGTAGAACTACAATAATCTGTATTGTTCTACCTGTAAAAAACTGAACCCAGAATTAGAGAGACGAGATTAATTCAATGAGATGCATTGTCGGCTGGCTCCACCCATTTTCTGCCAATTTTTTGCATTTTCTGCAAAAAGTATTGGATAATTTATGTACGATCAAAAAATTGACTTTATCAGAGGATACAATCTGTGATTCGGCGATAAATAGCAGCTGCAATAAGCATTAGTTAAATTCTGGAATAAAACGCTGTAGAGAACTAAAAGAGATCAGCACCAGTATCACCTGTTGAAGTCTACAATCAACTCTAGAAGGCGTGGAAAATCTATACATCATATGAAAGGAATGAAAAGAGCTCACGGATTCAACAAAACCGAAGGGTAAGAAAGTATATATATAACAGATACAAAGCAAGCATTGAAAACGTGTGACTTAAAACTCGAATACTTGGATAATGTACAATCTTTAAAACCCATATCATTTCTTATTCTTTCGCCGTTGCTTCTTTTCGGGTGTACTGATAGACACACCAACTTGACTGGATTCTATCTCCTGCAAAACACAAACTATGCTTGAGAAAAACTGCTACAATCTAACCTCTCTAGATAGTTGAGCATTCTCAAGTTGTGCTTGGATTTTGGACTGTGCGTCGAAATGAAGCATAAGATCAGAGACTTGTTGCTGCAGCTCATTGATTCTCTATAAAAAATAAGGACAATTAAAAAGGAAGCGCAAAGTGCTTATTGAGTTTCTTTGTTTTAGTATCTGTCAAGTCCAGGAGGTGCACTCTCCTGACCTGAATCCTTCACACTGATTGTTTTACTTTATATGAATACGACATTATGACTAGAATGTTTATTATATCTTTATAAGCGTAAAGAAAGGGGAAGGGAAGCCGCCGGTCACCCGGTTAAGCACAGCTCATCTAGAGTTGCTGGGCACCGCCCAGTTGGCGTGGGGACTGTCGGACCATCTAATTAGTCTGCGTCGGACACAGGGTGAAGGATTCAGGTCAGGAGAGTGCACCTCCTGGACTTGACATATCGACGATCCACGCTTTATTCCAATTCATCACGGAGCACCCCCAAATTCATACCGGATACGCACAGATATTAGGCGGGACAGAGACAGTTTTGTAGGTGACTGCAAGTGACTTGGCATTAGCCATTAGAGCCGAGCCAACGATATGTTAATCCCAACATGGATAGCTTTTTTGCCGAAATTTTACTAATCTAATGACACAATAATGGTGACACTACACAAAACAAGGATGTAGTTTCAAGCAAAGTAAAATGTCTACCTGTGTTTTGCTGAGATTTGAAATAAACCGAACTGCAAAATTCAACGCATCAATATACGTGGTCCGGGGAAATCACCGTAAAAGGGTCTTCTATACCACTTCAAATTCAAAAATGATTGTTGTGCCGAAACGCGCGGTCAGGCACCTCACAGATAGAATTAGTCAGCGTTTAGGCCATTCCCAAGCCTAGCCTTGCCTGCGCTTTTCATCTCACCGCTGCAAGTACATGAACTCGCCAGGATGCTGCAAAAACGGTTCCGATCTCAAAGTGAGGTCTAAGGGGTTCTGGATGAGCAAAGCTTCGCACGCCGTATTTTTATATATTAGGGTGTAAACTAAGTTTTGCAACTGGTTTCATAACTTCACTCTCTTTGGATTTGGAGCATTCAAAGTTTGGCATTATGTAGAGAGTAATGTGTGCTACAAGTACGCACAAATTTTCTAAATTTCAAACGCGAAATAGGAAAGTTTCAGGCATTTTTCGAAAACTAGTGCAATTTGAGAATTTTTGGGGTTTCAAGCTGAAATGAAGCCTTTAGCAGTCTACATCCAATGCAGTAACCCGGACTCGTCTATAAATTATTGCTGGAGGTTGACTCCTTTGGCCTAATAAGAAAGAAACAAAATTTAGGGGCATGTCAAGATTTCGCATCCTCACAAATTCGAACGAGTCGATGTACGCAAGAGCTGCTGGGGACGACCGTCAATGACTAAAGAGTCCGAAGCTCAAATTCCGCCGAGACTTTACATAGTAAGGTTATTTGGCCTGCTAAACACGAATATCATATTCATTTGTTGAATCAACGCCTCTTCCCTTGTTCAGGGTGAGACCCCATATCGTACACCTACAGTAACCTTACAAAAAAGCCCTTATCACGCAATTTCACTATCGTTTTCGTGATCAGCATGTCGGATAACCTCCTATGCCAAGTTTGAGCCAAATCCGTCAAACTTTGAATTTTTCCCCTTCATACCATATGCCTACCGTAACCGTCATTGTGACGTCAGATGGCAGAATAGCAGCTGCACTTGTAGCTTACGTAATAACCTACACAATGGCAAAATTTGGATGCCTCATGTTGGGAGAGAGTGAAGTTATAAAACCAGTTGCAAAACTTAGTTTACACCTAATAAATTTCACACAGGTGGGTTGTGCGGCGGGGTGCGCGGTGTGGGCTTCAAGTCAAAACAGATCCTTGGTTTCTGAACGTAGCATAAAACCAAAATGGACTGTAGTTCAAATAATATCTTCCATAAAACATTATCACGTCCAGTTCAGGTCTACCCTGATTTCACGCTTATAAGACGCGAGGAATTTTTCTCTAGAATCGAACAGCACATACACGCCGAAGGACTTCGCGACCAAAAGACTATTTACAATGCTGCCTGAGAGTATCGTGCGGCATAAATCTCGTTTTTCAAAATACAACGAGGAGGCTGAGCGGCAGGCTTGAAAAACCGAAAAAGGTGCGTCTCGCGTGAAATCAGGGTGATAACGAGCAGGCATGTCTTTTGAACTCTGCATCGCGATCTACAGAACCTAAGCAGTGGAAGAAACCAATACGATTTAGTGAAGGGACCAACCTGGGAAAACTGTTTCTCACAAGAAACGCACTTCTCCTCCAACTCATCCACTTTGTGCTTCCACAACTGTTGATCATTGCGTAGCATCTCATTCATTTCTCGCTCTTCTTTCAACTCAGAGGTCACCTCAACATCAATGATGAACAGCATGAAAACGACTAAGCATTTTACTCACCTTACTCAACTTGCTCATGGCTTGTGAGCATTTTTTCTCGGTCGCGTGTTTAGCTGCATTGACCTCTTGCAACTGTTGCTTCAACGATTTGCACTCAGCCGAGGATTGCGACAATTTTGTCTCCAAATCGTCAATCTTGAAAAGTCAGACTAGAACAGGAGAAATCAAATCTATAGTAGTGCCAACTTGTGCTTGAGCCATTTTCTCCATATTATTCATCGCTCGCTCCATATCAGCCAAACGAGCCTAAGTTAAACATCTTAAGTTTTGTTTTTCGTCAAGAGCTCCATAAATACCTCAAAAAACATTCGCTGGCTTTCGAGCTGGCTAGTTAGCAGGCAAGTATACTCCAACTTGATTCCTTCCAACTTGTCCTTCTTCTCCTCTGATTCGGCCTGGAAATTTGATGCATGTTGAGAAGGAGATGAGAAACGCTAGGATACCTGAGCATCTCCTCTTTGGTACTCTACCACTTTGCCCTCAGTATCGGATTGAATAAGGCGATGGACATAGTTATCACCGGCGTAATCCCAGACTCTTTGACCGCCGACTTGCAAGCAGAACGTATGCGATGTCAATTCAAAATGCCTAAAATCAAGGACAGAGGTATAGCCCAAAGCGTTCATAGCGAACAATGAGCATGTTTTCATATTGGCAGCATACTTAATACAGAATATTTGAGGCGGTTGAGGGGAGAGAATGGCAGAATTTTTTTTGTGAATGAGAAGCATAGTTGCCATGTTTTCCGAAGAATTTTCGGAAGCTCTTCCGTACACGCAATTTTTCTCAGGGCTAATTTTGATTTTTGAAAAATGTTCAGAATTTACTTCAGATATTTACAAGTCAAAAATATATCATCTGCACAATTTGAACCCATTCAGACCAAGCGACCCATTCTCGGAAATGGCGTCTACGCCTGCACCGTAAACATAGAATGTACACAGGAAAAAAAATGGAACTGACCTATACGCATGACCTTCTGCGTACCGTCCACACCCTATATTACCACATATCAAGCATATCCAAAGATCGGAACTCTGCCCACAATCCGAACATCTCTGCTCAGCTACAAGTTCAGGCGTTTGTATGTATCGACACACAGGGCATCTGGAAAAACACGAGCGTAAAGAAAAAAGTACTTAGTGCGAGTAAGAGTTCAAATACCAATGCAAGCACATTCAGGGATACCCAAGCCCATTTGCTGCACTATGTATTGTCCCAAAAGAGATTTAGTAGTATTTATCATCAAACGTGAAAAGGTTTGTCTTTCGCAGAAAAAAGAGGAAGTCCAGAGAGATGGGAGGGGAACACGTTCAATCAGTATTGAAAATTTGGTTTTTGTAGCATGATTTGTATAGGTTGGGACATAGTCTTGTACCATAAGAATTCCAAAAAAAATGTTAAAAATGCTCCAAGCAGCGTTTCAACCTACATAGTGATTTCCGCATTATATGCTACACATATATATTAGGTTGGTCCGAAAGTTCTGTTCCACCATTTTCAAAAAATCATAACTTCCGTCGGACATGATGTTTTTGCATGGCTAAAAACTTGTTGAAAAGAACAACTCATGCGCTTTCTAGAAACATCTTGGCTGCTATCTAATAAGCTCTAAATGCAGAGATAAAATTGGGAAAAGAAAATCACTTCAAGTTCAGAATTTTTAAGCAAGCCCCTTAAAACATCTAAAACTATGCCATAAAATCCACAACAGCCATTAGCCTGGACTTTTTGAACCCCTCTTTCTTGCTGATCAAAATTTGCCTGATCCAGTTGTTATTTTGAAAGTTATGCTTTTTTGAAGAGAAAGTCAAAAAATCAATTTTCTTAGAAAACTGATTTTTTGGCTTTTTTTCTTGAAAATCATAGCTTTTCTAGGAAGAGCTCATCAGCGCAAATTTTGCTCATATAGAAAGAAAGGATTAGAAAACCTAGGTTAACGGCTGTTTTGGATTTTATGGCACAGTTTCAGATTTTTTAACAAGCTTGCTTAAAAATTCCGAACTTGAAGTGATTTCCTTTTCCCAATTTTATCTCTGCACTAGATGGCAAACCCGGCTCCGCCCGGGACCAAACTTTGCACACATACACTTCGGGGCAGGGAGCGTGTCATAGTCCACTTTGTTATCGATCGATGTCGATTTCACCGATTTTTTGCAAACTTTGAGCTAGGGGGCTGGGATTTTGCACAGGGGGTAATCGAACATGCTGATCACCCCCACGGGGGTGATCAGCATGTTCGATTACCCCCCTGTGCCAACTCCCAGCCCCGTAGCTCAAATTTTGCAAAAAATCGATAAAATCGATATCGATCGATAACGAAAAGTAGCCTATGACACGCTCCCTGCCCCGAAGTATATGTGTGCCAAGTTTGGTCCCGATCGGTTAAGAAATAAAAATTTCTATTCCGCACATACGTACAGACAGACATACAGACATACATACAGACAGACATTCAGCTTTATATATAAGACTAGTTTGAAGCTTATTAGATAGCAGCCAAGATGTTTCTAGAAAGCGCATGAGTTTCTCTTTTCAACGAGGTTTTAGCATGCAAAAACATCTTGTTAGAAGGAAGTTCTGATCTTTTGAAAATGGTGGGACAAAACTTTCGGACCAACCTAATATAATATATGCAGTATTTTATCGTATACATTAGAGATATTATTTCAAACTATATCAAAACTCCATAATAAAAATTCGAAGATCACATTTTCTCATAAAGACGTCCTATCACCACAAACTTTTTTAGACAAAAACCTTATATTATAAAACCCAGATAAAAAGCAAAATCAAAAATTTCTAAGCCTTCCAGCGTTTTTAGAGAATAAAAGTTGGAAAAATTGGAAATAACCAATCAGAGTGTTTGCCTTGAAGATTCTGTTACCGCGGTATGACAACGATAATGCCGCTTTGAGAGTATTAAAAAGAGTAAGGTTTTCTTCTTCTGAATCATATTAATGTTAACAGATTCAACGAACCTGGAGGAGACCAGAGGATTTCAAAAAGTTTTAATGCAAGGCTTATGTCCCAACCTAATTACATGTCATTCAAAGTAGCAAGCAGTCGTAGCATGTTTAAAGGCAGTACATCGGCAGAAAGGGACCCGTGACAAAACAAGGTCACAGGGTAGGAGCCCCATATGGAATCTATCGGCCAAAGTCCGATCTTTCTCTGCCACTTCTAACCCCCGAAATTCCAAAGCGAAAGCAGCGCTCATCTCCTGTTCTCTCCGAACCCGCCCACCCCATGGACGAGCGACTTCCGCGGTCAGAGCGCCAGCCGCAATGCTATAAGCATCAGGTCCCGCAACGACTCTGCGTCTTCGCCATGACGGGCTGCGCGTTCACTCGTCCATGGGGTGGGCGGGTTCGGAGAGGACAAGAGATAAGCGCTGTTTTCGCTTTGAAATTTCGGGGGTTAGAAGTGGCAGAGAAAGATTGGACTTTGGCCAATAGGTTCCATATGGGGGCTCCTACCCAGTGACCTTGTTCTGTCACGGGTCTCATTCTGCCGATGTACTGCCTTTAAGTGAAGACATCAAAGCAAACCCAATGGGAAAAGTCAACTTTTGTTGAGAAAAATCAAGAATTAGATGGGCGAATTTTATAAACTAATAAACAATTACATATATAATGATAATCGAAAGTATAAATAGATAATAGAAAACGTACGTAGTGTCGGTCCACTGCTCCAAACAGCCAGCATGGAATGTGTGATTGCAGAGGATGGATACAACACTATCATCCATGCGCTCCAAACAAACAGCACACGTCGGAAGCTCAGTCAAATGGTTGGAGGATCCCGCTTCGCCAGATGCGGAAGAGCTAGCGCACAATGCAGCCACCTCATCTTCTGATGCCTAAGAGGTGTACAGAATACAAATCACAATTCTTCCTCTAGTATTCAGCATGACACAGTTGCAATCAAACAGAAACTCACACATTCTATCCTATCAACAAATAACAGTTTACACTGATTTGTTTCCAGACTATTAAACTGCATTCCGTTGTATTCTTCGAAAAACACCACTGCATCATTCTGTAACACAATTGCATTTAACAGCTGCGCAACGAAGCAAAAACAGAACTTACATGGGTTTTGAACTTGAGAATAACCATATACTCATTTGGAGTGGAATCCCTGATAACCTTGATTCGCTCAATGGTCTGTATGGCCCCTCCTGTAACACGCATGTATTTTGCATTTGAAATAAAGGAAAAAAGACAGCAGAGGTACCAATGAAGAGCAAAATCTCCCGTAGTGTAATTTGCGAAGGTATAGCTATCATGCATAGCATTCGACACTGCACGTCCTTTCCTAAACCGTCGTCACTGGAACAAGATTTAGATGGAATCAACAACGTACTATTGTAAAAACATACTTGTATTTGAAGAAATGAAGTATCCCCTCTGTTTTTTCAACGAATGGGTTTCCATAATAATATGTGACATGGTCAGGAACTGGAAAAATCGTCTGCATTGAGTACTTCGGCTTTAGCACGCATGTACCTACACTGTACAGTTTCAGAGCCTGCTTTTGAAGATCGCGAAGACTGTGGAACTTCTGCGTCTGATGTGGTACTAACCACATCAGTACATCGATCTCCGTCAAGTGACTCGACTACAACTTCCGAGTAGGTACGACGACCTCGATAATTAGCTGACTGCTGAGGGATTTCCTAGAAAGAAACTATACGCTCCTCGGAACACGGCGTTGATAACTACTGTAAGTGCCAAAACTTTACTATAACTCTGGCGTGAACAGCGCTACAAGAGATAGGAGAAAATTAACGGGGGAAAATTTTACCGAGAGATAGGGTGCAAACATACGTGCTGAACATATTTTTCTGTGGTTGCCGGAGCAATCGGAGCATCATCGGTCCCATCATTTCTGGTGCTTGCAGCTGTGGGTGGGCTCCGCTTTTTGAGGCCAGACATGATCCGTCTTCTATTTCTTTCGATAGTTGATGGAGACTGCTCTAAAACACTATAAACTTATATATAAAGCTGAATGTGTGTCTGTCTGTCTGTATGTACGTATGTGCGGAATAGAAATTTTTATTTCTGAACCGATTCGGACCAAACTTGGTGGCACACATATACTTGGGGCAGGGAGCGTGTCATAGGCTACTTTTCGTTATCGATCGATATCGATTTTATCGATTTTTTGCAAAATTTGAGCTACAGGGCTGGGAGCTGGCACAGGGGGATAATCGAGCATGCTGATTACAAATATATTATTGACAGGCCCGGGCGGAGCCGGGTTTGCCAACTAGTTTTGAAAAAAAAACCGGAAGACGCTGAGAAAAACCAACGCAAACTGCAGGGCAAAGCAATCCCAAATGCAAGCTGTTGATTTCATAATGTGGATCTTATAAGTTTGTCGAAGTTATTTCAGATCACCGTCACGAACGCAGATTCTTACATGATACTATTTATACTCTCATAACCCATCGATGTTCTATATGATGACAGTTTACAGAAAACATGAATTTCCATGACGCTCTATAAATTATCCTACCAGCCATTAACCAGATAACTGTTAAATCTGGCAAAATCGATTGAAAAAAAGCGTGCGAAGGGAACTAAAACGCTGAGAATACGATTTATGACTTTGTGTGAAGGGTACAAAAAGGTTAGAGAAGTCAACGGATTTTAAAAACACCTCAAACTCACCTATATCCAACTTCGAAGATTCGTTGAAAGCAACTTGTTTGCTACCGTTTTTCACCTCTAATCGCAAGATGAGCGGTTGATAGAAGCTCATACAGAACTAAAATCTGATTGACAACTAATGTTAGACCATTGACAAGAAAATATGACCAAGTAAGTAAGAACTCTTTTCAGCAACACATTACTGTTCAGATTCTTTATACAATCAGCTTTGCTGCTACTTTGTACAACATGCAATAATGGCACTTAGTTATAGCAAATGAAGATAAACAATGCCGAGCACGGTGAAGGTTACCCGTTCCTACTTTTCAAAAGATCATTCACTCTATCAGCATGCACACACAATGCTTGATAAAATTCTACAGATTAGAATCTTATAAAGTATAGAATAGAAAAAAGACCTACTGACAAAATGGATAGAAGAAACTGCATAAGCTAGTTAGGTTAAAAAAAAACTATATTTACAAATGTGATCAAAGGCTAGCACATGAATTTGGCGCCTACAAACTCTACTTTTATATTTACATCACTTTTAGTAGAGAATTAATGAGCTACATCGATGCACTACTCCACTTCCCAGAGAAATCTTATCAACAGCAGCAGCAAGAGATGAATGGTTGCCGTCGGATGTTCCATTGTGAGCTACTTGTTTTGGGAGAAAATATGAAGCTGCCTTCCAAACGTGGTCTCGGTTCAAGCGAGAAAGGAAGGTAGCGCGAAGCTGCAACAAAGATTCAATTTGTTTAGCATGCATTTCTAAACAAGCGAAGTTCACCTGCCGCTCTGCTTTGCTTATAATTGTTGAGGGAGAGGCACGAGATGCCATAGTTTCCGCAGACATCAAAAACAGCACATCATCCAACACTTTCTCAGCAGTACGATTTAGCTGCAACAAAAGTGCTGAACCCTTACGCGAAATGCTGCACAACAGTATAAAGTTAGTAATCAAATGTATCAAACCAGTTCGAGCGACACAGTAGTAGAGCTTTTATCATGAATCACAACCGGGTTGATGATGTTAGAGAAACCCCTGGATGTCAGAAACGATTGAAAATCTCCACCAAGCCGGAGCAGCGATAGGCAGATCACATTTGCACCAATGTGGGGCAGAAGACGCTAAAATATTGAAGTCATGGAATTTTATAGGCCAAGACGCTAGTGGATTTACAGATGATATAGCGCCCCTACGGTGACGACAAAGTTATGCGGAAGCGAATTCAGTGTTTATGGATGCCAACAACTTGCTTGTTTGCTCGTAAAAAAGGTTCTAGAGCGCATACTGCCCTCGTCTAAGTGCGAAAATTGACGGTAATTTCAATCTATCAATAATCTCTAACCAGGAAGGAGGAAATAGAGGTTGCCAAGAATATTCAAAAAGTCTAATTCTGAGATCAACCCACCCGTTAGATATTTTCTAACATCACGATATTTCAGTAGTAATATAACGGACAGGTACATACCTCGGCAGGATCCCGTTTGAGGAGATTTCGAATAACTTCACAGACTGGTCTTCCAGTCAATCGCGGTAGAAGGGGTAGCTCTTCCTCCTTGTATTTAGCACTATCCAAACGCGAATAGAATGGATTCACTCTAAATTATTGAAAAAATATATGCTGACGTGAATGAACTCTCACTTTCTTCCTCTGGGCTGCGCTCGGACATGAACCCCAGATTTCGTTGATATGAAAAGTTTTCTAGCCAGCCGAGATCTCGTTTGGGGTCATCTCATGTTTTCACCTTCAGAAACGTGCTAGTGACAACATAGCAACAGTCGCCCTTATCAATAAGAGTTGTGGCAGGCTCCGCCCCTCAATTTTCAGTCTACATAAATCACCCCTAACCTTTCCTTCACCGACTCAACCCCACAATGTGAAGGAGAACACGAAGAGGATATATGCTCGGGCGATGCTTTGTGATTGGTTTTGATGCAAAATTGCAGATTACGACGCCAAAACCACATTAGCAATGCATCACTCATTTAGTCCATTCATAGGTTTGCAAGTGAAGGAATATTATATGGCACAAATCAGGGACACCTATGTTGTTGAACTGTATAGGAGTAATTTCCCTACTAACCTCGTAAATATTTCGTATCCCAATGCTCCTGCAGCCCAAGTATCTGCCATACGGAAGTCCAAAAGACTAAACAAAAGACATCTGATTGATGGATGTGCAAGAAGCAGCTTACCAATCGGGACCAGGCTGTGCAGTCACAATTTCGGGGGCACGTGTCCTCCTATTTCCACCCAAATCAATCGCATCATCAGCATACTTCACTATCCAGCTGCCTTTAGCCAAAGCGCACCCGAAGTCGGATATTACCAAACGCGGAACCTCGTCTAAAATCAGACAACTAGAATGGCAAAAGCAAAGACTGCTTAACACACACCTGGATCATCAAACTCGAGGAGGATATTGTCGCTCTTCATGTCACGCTGTGCCACGACATTATCGTACAAAAACACACAGCCTTCCAGCAGTTGACCAAAAAGTACGCGGGCGACATAATCGTTACATTTCCTCTTCAAGTCCACCAAATAATCGCGCAAAGTCATTCGATATCTGCAAAATGTGCAATTCCAGAAAAGTTCACAACAAGGAAATTCCAGTGCAAGACCAATGTAGGGTAAGCGAGGCTTGACCTACAGTTAAAAGCCGTTGACTAAGCCTGACGCTTTTCAAATCTCACTGTAAATCAGAATCAATAGTGCCATAGGGGCCTCCAATTTTAGAGCTATTTGCTTATCTTCGGCTCTAGATTAGAATATTTTCGCTCGGAGGTATACTGAGAAATTGTCAAAATACTCATAGACAAGTCAGACAATTATGAAAACTCTGGGTATTTGAAGTAGCTAGTGAGGAAAATGACGGAAAGCAACGCAAAGTCTACCTCTTCATAACGATAAACATGGTCCTCGGTTCGTTTATAATCATTTCATAGAAAGGCGCATTGGGTAACGCATCCGGATAAGCAGACTTCGCATCCTCCAGGATAGGCATGCGATCAACAAACGCGGTGAGCACCCGCACAACGTTGGGATGAAAGTCAGGTAACGGACGATAACTGAAAAAAGAACACAGTCGAAAAGATCGACACAGATAGATTGTTAGAATTGCAGACGGATACGAATAAAGAAAAGGGAAAGCGCCAGGTGGGTTCAACCGTTTTGAGACAAAAAAATTTTTCTTTGGTGATGTAGGAATAAATACTGCCCACGCTGTTCCAGAACCACTTGACGAGATTTTCCAGTGCATCGCAGTCACAAACTTCGCAAAACAAATTCTTCGTGCATGTTTATATGAGCGCCGCCTTGAAGAAGCATTCTCACATTATTTCGACGTGCAGACGACAGACAATGAAATAAAATGACCGCTTGCCAAATCCACACTCATGCCTTAGGGACCGGCATACTATCCCAGGAGGTGATTCCAGCGACTGTAATTCCTGCAATTCTTGTGATTCCTCGACTTCCGATGTGCCGCAGTACGGAGAGCTTTGCGAAATTCAGTATGCATTGTTTTTTTTTTTGCAATATAGATTGCACGTACCCGCAGCAATCACAAGAAACGCAGGAACTGCAGAAATCACAGGAATATTATGGCCGGTTCCTTAGCGCCAAAACTTGCGCAAAAGAGGGCGTTCCGACCCTTTCTGGCGCTTTTTGGCTTTCTTGGCCCTTTAAGGCTTTTTTGGGTTTTTTTTTTTCGCGAAGTATGACGGGTCCCTCAGCGTATCAGCGTGATTTATTTTGCTATGATTCTGCACTATGCAGCCGTATGCAAATATGAGTAGTATTGTTATAATGATGTAAATGAGGATTATGGTTCGGAATTTCTCAAGGTTGGCGCGAAGAATCTTGTGAGACTCAGTAAAATTGAATTGAGTACTGTGACATTGATTGCATGGCATACTCTATCCAAGAAGTTTTGTGCTGATAAACTCTCTCCAAGGAGAATTTCGACACAAGACAAATGTGACATAGAAATTATCTGATACTTTGGGATATCATCAGCTCTTAAAAGAAATATAGGTTGCAAGTTATTAACGATTATGCTATTGACTTTCGAGTTATGACAAAACTCCAGTGAAAAAGTAGTAAAGCTTGTGAAATCCATTTCATTTGCTAAGCACTATTAAATTAAAGTGAGACGTCAATAAAAGCGAACGATTTCACCTTCCTAAACAAAATTTCCAACTTAACGACATGTGGGTGGTACAGCAGTCCGCATAAGCGATAAAAAACGTCCAGAACATACAGAATATTAGTGATTCTTCCAACTGTAGGCGAGCACATACCTTCCCATTCTTCCATTGAGGAGTTGTCCACTTCCAGGAAGTGGTACAAGTTCGGCACCCATGGATCGCCAGAGATAATTGTCCCCCAAGCGAGGGCACATGTCCAAAGCAAAGTTGTACATCAACTTCAAAGCAAGTGGATACTCCTGCAAAAGAAATAACATGATATATAAAGATAGCAGTGATTTTCAATGTCTGCGTCGGATACAGCACATTTTGAGAATTCCGATTCTTCTGTGGTAAAAGATTTGTAGATAAATTCTTGCGCGCTTTGCCTGTGAGCTCAACCTCGCGAACTTTTAGTGCGTAAACAGCTGCATTGCATCCGTAACCGATATTATGTCCTGAAAGTAAGATGTGAGGTGTCAATATAAAGATGATAACTGCTTACCTATTTCATATCCATCGATATTGTTTGGATAAATTCCTCTTGCAAGGTCAGCATTATAACGCACATTGGTGGAGAATACATCCTACAAAATTCGAAGTTGGTAACATTTCAGAAAAACACCTACAACAAAAATGTCTAAATCCTAGATACAAAGCTCACATTAACTAGATCTTGCTCAAAAATCGGACCATACGGATAAGCAGAAGGAGCCGGACCACTTTTGTTGCGAGATTATTATTGTTTCAAAACTGCCCTCTTACTATTTCCCAACATTAGCCCTACGTTAGATATATGCACTAACGCTGAAAAAGAACGCACGAATTGAAAATTCTTTGGCAAAAATACAAGCTTTTGTAGAAGCGCCCGTAAGAGTATCACCAGCTCCACTCGGCCCCACTATTCCTGTATAGGCGGAGTCGTGGCAGCTCAAAGAGTGGCGGTTTTTGATAGGGAGAGAGTACGAAAAACAATGCTATGAAGTGGACGTTTAACAAGTTCATCCTTATAATCAAGGAAAGTCCGCAAACACCTCTACGCGAATTTTGGAGCCGATCATACTTCCATAAGTATCAGCTTCAGATTCTCGCTGCCAATATAAAACTAATGTTCAAGGCAAAAAGGAGATGAAACCTCGAGGGAAAATGTGAAAGAAATAAGGTGTTCCGGAGCTGTAGAACAGCAAGAAAATCTGTGAGAAAAATCCCGAAACTCACACGAATTCTTTCAACCACACCCGCAGAAATGCGTTTCTTGATGAAAAAACGATTGATTCGGTATGGGTAAGGTCTCTCTTGATAAAATCGACGATGCTGGACAGCAATGGATGCAAGAGGGCGATATGCTCTCCCATTTCGAAGAAGCAATTGGACCTAAAATTATACGCTAGTTGATAGTTATCAGCTGAGAGAAGCAAATGTACATACTGAATCGAAGTTACTACTCTTTATGTACTAACAAAAGGATATGCCTTTTGGTAAAAACATCATTCATAATAATACCTACAGATACAAGTTGAACAACTGAACGTTTCTGTCATACAAAAAACTGACAATTTGAGCTGACCGATATCTAAACACCTAAACAAGAAGCAAGAAACGCCCTACATACCGCACGATAAAGTGGATTTCTTGCTAGAGGTAGGGCAGTACGTCCAATCAGCACATCTAGCTTGGAGCCTTGGAGAATGCGTGGTAGTAGCTGGTAAAGTAACGGCCTTCTATGCAAAATTCTCCATAATACCTAAACACTGCGTAAGCTTTAGTTACATATCCAAATATGAATGCTAGTCCATGAAGATAAACAATGGTCCTTTCAGTCAACTCAGTCAACAGAAGCATAGTTGAATAAACGAACCGTTTGTGCCACTCTCCTGGCAACCGTGCCAAGGCGCTTCATGAGAAGTAGCGATTTATATAAGTGGAAAACCGCTGGCTAACTGAAAAAATACTTCATAAGAGCTAACAATACATTCACACGATCAAACAGTATAGATACCACAAATCACGCGCAGACGGCAATCTTGCTCTAATCAACGATGTAAGCACACAAAAGTGACGGCAGGCGCGTTGAGCGTCAGTGAATTTAGAGCACATTCTTGGGCGAAAGTCTAAGGCTTCTTGTTAAGTTGTACTAACGAAGAAAGGCATCCAAACTAGGACTTTGGAAGACGACATGTATTCAGAAAGCCTTGAAACGTGTAAGTTTGTTGCCCCTAGCTGCGAAGCATTATTCTGAAGAAAGTTACGGCATTTTCTGTGAAGAACTAGCTGGCTTACCCTGCTCCGCCCGACCCTGTCAAAACACTGTGATCTCTCCTAAAGCTGTCTCCTTATCCCTGTACAATCTTTCCCTATGCCCTATGGGGGGGGGTATTTGGTATGATAAACACGAATATAATGTTTATTTCGTGCGACAGCGCCATCCGATGGAGTTACGGTAGGATTGTGGATGCGGTAAGGGGTCAAAATCACGGATTTGCCCGAAACTTGGCCCAGACGGGAGTGAATTATAGAGTGCACAAGGCACTTCCTACCTACCATAATCAAAATTAGCCGTGGACGATAATGTCGACTGCAGAAACATGGGAAATTACGTCCAATCAATGCATTTGACGTGGCGAAATGTATTGCTTCATGATTTTGTTTATTTCTCTCTACTTTTTTTGATTCGTGCGCATCATTGCGTTCAATTGCTGTTTATTCTGAATAGAGTGGAAGTGTCGCAAAGCACTATTCTTTGGGATGTGACCGTATTCTACGTCTTCCCCGACGCGAGTCTCGCGAATGAGGATCATCAGGGTAGCGAGTCCATTGGTCGCGACATTTTTCAGGCTATCGAGCTCAGAAAAAGAAACAGTGTGTTGTACTCGGGAATGGTAGTGTATAAATCAGCCAGAAACAAAGTCCGACAGATGCTTTCTTGTTGAGTAGATGAACAATTTGAGGTTATCAGCTATGACTATGATTTTATGTGAGTCATATAACAAAAAAAAACTGCTATAAGTCTCCAATGTCTACAACGAATTACTCCCTGCTTTCCTTCACCAAGCGGATGTAGATGGAAAACAGTGGAAATGAAAGAGCGTGGAAGACAACAGAGCATTTTGCATTACTGTATGACAAGTATGAACGAATGACCCTAGGAAGTCACCTATTTGATCTACAGAACTTTAATGGAGATACGTCAGATGTCTCTGCCAACAACTTCTTGGCTCCTAGATATAAATGCTTTAACGATATTCGATGCAGTTTGCAGATAATCCTCTATCAAATTTGATTCTGTATTCTGCTTTGTGTAGGCGCAGCTGCACAGACTATTGTTCTGGTAATCCTTCCCACTTTTCATTCTGCATATCCTTGATATTATAAGAAGATGAAATAGTCTGAGCATTGTAAAAAGATGGAATCGAGTCTTACGAAATCTGCGTTTTGATGTTTCCGCAGTGGCATCTGTCATACGGCTGCACGTCAGGAGGTACGCCGCGCGCGGCGGCCGATTCGCCGCGCACGCCGCGTCTCGATCTTACGTCCCATAGAGCTCCCCATATCAAAGACTCCCGGCGGTAAAAACACAGGGGGTGGGAGTGGAGGCAGATACATGACTCAATGCCATAAGTAACATTGCGTCTGGAGTGCTGCTGTTGTATTGGTTGAAGTACGTTGCGGCGTCGCTTCGCGAAAAATTCGCGCCGATCGTACCTCCTGACCGTCCCCCCTGTCATACCACATAGGGAAATCATTGTCGGTACTGTTAGCATCCTAAGCGCTCAAATACGCCGTAATACGTGTCATCGAGAAATGTTTACAGTGTATCGGCGTTCTCTGAAGTTACCAATAATAACAGAATAGGCTAGGCCTACAGCGTCTTTGTCGTATCACTTAAAATGCCCTGGAGACGGGACTGTGTTACTTCCTTGAATCGAGATCCGTTGCCTTCAAACCTCAAAGGCTGCCTTTATGTACATATCGCATCTTCATATCATCATACTGATACGTTTCGTCAAGATTGGTCGTCATTTGTCATTTTGGTCAAAGTCAGTTAGGTATCCGGTCTAAAGAATACTAAGTATGCGATACACGTGCAAGGTTCAATAAAGAACAATGTGACAAGATCGCGTTTACAACAACTTTCTCAAAATTTGATGCCCTGTCCCCGACAGCGCGATCTTCATTGTGGCATTCGCGAGACTCGCATCGGGGAAGACGTAGAATACGGTCACATCCCAAAGAATCGTGCTTTGCGACACTTCCACTCTATTCAGAATAAACAGCAATTGAACGCAATGATGCGCACGAATCAAAAAAAGTAGAGAGAAACCACAAAATCATGAAGCAATACATTTCCCCACGTCAAATGCAATGATTGGACGTAATTTCGCATGTTTCTGCAGTCGACATTATCGTCCACGGCTAATTTTGATTACGGTAGGTAGGAAGTGCCTTGTGCACTCTATAATTCAGTCCAGACGGGTTATTCAGCCCGCTGATGCCAAATATCACATTGGTTTTCAAACGTAGCGTCATTTTCCCGGGTTACGGTAGCTACACGGTAACGGGTGTAAAACACAGTTTTGCCTGAAACGGGTGTACGGCGATTCGGACGATCGTGAAGCTTTATACACGACTAACGTCGCGCGCTACATAACGTGCTGCCGCTTTTGCCTAAGCAAAGCACAGGGGAATGATACATTTGCCGATTTGTGATTTTGACCCCTGCCGTAAAACTACAGTCATCACGCAGGGAGACGTTTTCATGCGAAGAAAGCATGACACTTCTAATCAGCATATCGAGTTAACCCCCCCCCTGTGCGAAGTTACAGCGGATTTTGAGATTTTGACCCCCATGGTATACCCACCGTAACCCGAGAAAATAGCGCTACGGTACAAAACCAATGTGATATTGAGCATTAGAGGGCCGAATAACCTCTCTGGGCCAAGTTTCGGGCAAATCCATGATTTTGATCCCCTACCGTAATCTTACCGTAACTCCACCGGATGGCGCTGTCGCATGAAATAAACGTCATAATCGTGTTCAGCGTACCAAATAACCTCCCTAGACGAAATTTTAGCGAAATTCACAATTTTCAATCTTTGGGTCAACTAATGTGGAATAGCGCCAAAAAATCGATAGGAATCGATAAAATCGACATCGATTGATGATGAAAAGTAGCCTATGACACCCGCCCCTCCCGTAGTGTATGCGTGCAAAGTTTGGTCCGGATCGGTTCAGATGAAAAATTTTCTATTCGGAGAATACGTACAGACAGACAGACACACACATATAGGTATATACAAACAGACATTAGCTTTATGTATAAGAATCTACAGTCTGCCCCATTCCCAACCAGGAAATTGGCATGGCGGGAGTCCGTGTCGCGAGGGTATCTCGTCACGTCTACGGGCTAATCTGCTCCCCCCTTAATCTCTTCGCCCTCTGCGACAACGCATATGCACCGCAAACCTTTAGCGCTGCAAGCGCGCAAATTTAGGACAGTTTCGCCTGATTGGAATTGGGGCAGACTGTAGGGTCGCTGTCAGCGAAGTGCTCCCTTGCCGATCAGCTCAAAGGCAGCGTCCAGGCAAGTCTGGACACATGGGGATCTAACGTGGATAGTAATTTTGGGGCCCTAACTAAGCCACTGCCCAACCGGCAGCTCAGGTAGTGCTCTAACGGCTGAGATATTCCCCTCGAAACTGGACTCCGCGATCGTATTTCGCATGGATTCATGGCTCAAAGCGTGGATCCTGGCGCGAAACTGCCATGAATCCATGCGAATACGATCGCGGGGTCCAGGTTCGAGGGGAATATCTCAGCCGTTAGAGCACTACCTGCGCTGCCGCTTGAGTGCCTTAGTTAGGGCCCCAAAAGTACTTTCCATGTAAATCTTATATATAAAGCTGAATGTCTGTTTGTCTGTATGTATATATGTATGTATGTATGTATGTCTGTATGTACGTATGTTCCGAATAGAAAATTCCATTTCTGAACCGATCCGGACCAAACTTGGCACACATACGCTACGGGCCCCGGCGGGTGTCATAGGCTACTTTTCGTCATCGATCGATATCGATTTTATCGATTTTATCGATTTTTTGCAAAGTTTGAGCTACGGGGCTGGGAGTTCGCACAGGGGGATAATCGAGCATGGGGATTCCGAATACAATATTGGTTTTCGGGATTATCGATTACTTTTATCGATTTTATCGATTTTTTTGCAAAGTTTGAGCTAGGGAGCTGGGAGTTGGCACAGGGGGGTAATCGAGCATGCTGATCATCCCCAAGGGGGGTGATCAGCATGCTCGATTACACCCCTGTGCCAAATTCCAGCCCCCAGCTCAAATTTTCAAAAAATCGATAAAATCGATAAAAGTAATGGACGATCTTGAAAACTAATATTGTATTCGTAATCTGCATGCTCGATTACCCCCCCCCCTCCCTGTGCAAACTCCCAGCCCCACAGGTCAAACTTTACAAAAAAATCGATAAAATCGATAAAAGTAATGGACGATCCTGAAAACTAATATTGTGTTCGTAATCAGCATGCTCGATTACCCCCCTGTGCAAAATCCCAGCCTCGCATGTCAAAATTTACAAAAAATCGATAAAATCAATAAAAGTAATCGATAATTCTGAAAACTAATATTGTATTCGATCCCCATGCTCACTTCCCCCCTGTGCCAACTCCTAGCCCTGTAGGTGAACTCTGCAAAAAAAATCGATAAAAATCGGTAAAATCGACATCGATCGATAACGAAAAGTGGACTGTGACACCCGCCGGGGCCCGAAGTGTATGTGTGCCAAGTTTGGTCCGGATACGGCGGAGCCGGCTAAGCCAGCTAGTTGCCCATAAGTCCAAATCTGCCTGGACGCTGCCTTCAAGCGCAACGCTAGAACCCTTTGCCGCGTTCGCGGGCGTATCGCTTGAGTGTTCAAATCCGCCGCATCGGTCGCACATCGTTGCAGATGCGTAGGCACCTCGAGAAAGCGAACA